CAGGAGGGAGAGGCTGTGCTGGTGTCTGCTCTGCCTCTGAGCTCACTCCCCTTCCCCCTGCAGCCCAGGGGTGAAGTAAAGGCTCCTCCTCCCATGTTGGAAACTGCTCTTTTAAGGAGATGGAAGAAAAATAATGGTGCAATCAAAGGTGCGAGATATCAGCAGGGGTTCCAGTGGGGTGTGTGGAGGAGCTCCTGTGTCCCTGTCCAGAGAGGTAAACCCTGAGTACACACTTCCACTCAGGAGGGCTGTCCTCCCTGGGCTTAGACAGGCTCTTCCAGTTCCTAATCACAAGCCCACTTGAGCTGTTAGCAGTTTTTTAAACAGGGATTTGGTGTGTTTAGGCTGACTGTCCTCCTTGAGAGCAGATGGTTTTTGTTACTGGATGATATTTCAAAGGAGAGGGTGTTTCTCTTTTTTTCTGCAATGCCCCCTCTGCTGCTGGTTTGTCCAGCTGGGAGGTGCTGGTATGGGCAGGAACCTGCCCTCCTGTGGGCTGCAGCTCTGCTGGTCCATCCATCAGTGGGATAGATATTGGGTCTCACCACTCCTGGGTCCTGGTTTGGAGCTTGCTATGGAGAAACCAAGTCACCTCCTTTCCCTGTGACTGATAATATCCCCTTCAGGGGTGCTGCTGACCTGGGGGTCCTTCTCCTGCAGCCTCTCCTCCTTGCTCTGCCTGCTCTGAGCCTTTCAATCTCCTTTTCTTGGCAGCCCAACGACCCGGTGACGAACATCTGCCAGGCAGCAGACAAACAGCTCTTCACCCTGGTGGAGTGGGCCAAGAGGATCCCCCATTTCTCCGAGCTGCCCCTGGATGACCAGGTCATCTTGCTGAGAGCAGGTGAGTGGGAACCATCCCTGCGTGGGGCCCTGGGCCCCTGCATCTCATGGGTGACAGGTATGGCACTGAGATTTAGGTCCTGTCAACTTGAAAGCCATTAACTGATTGTGAGTAATAGCCTCTGATAATTCAATGGCTAAATAGGATTTAAAAAGCCCCAAGGGATGTGTTGCTGATCCAAAATGTTGCAGCAGCTGCCAATCAGCTGAGAAATGGCCCAGCTTCATCTCTGATGGATGAGGGGCTTGGAGATGTGCTCTGGGTGGTTTTAAACCAAAGGAGCTACGTGCTGCCTTCCTCCCAGGCTGAGAGTGGAAAGACCAAGAGAGGGCTTGGGACTCCATGAAATTTCATCAAACGAAGATGTTTGATCCTAATTAAAACCAGAAAGGGGAGAAAAATATCTCGCCCTCCCTCTCCCACCCACCAAGATGAAAATAAAATTCTCTGAGCTCATTTTAAATTTCCTTGTGCAGCAGGGGGTCTGCAGGAACAGGGGTTGTGGGAGGTGAAAAGGAGTTAGCTGTGAAAAGAGTCTTCTTCCAGCGAGTGCATTCGAGCCCCTGCTGCTGGCAGGTTACACACAAAGACTGGGGGAGGACAAGAAATCAAGAGCAGAGCTTGACAAGGGTGAATTTTAGGCATGAAGCTCCTTGCATAGCTCCATTTGCCAGATAAGGGATTAAAAAGGCTTTAAAAGTGGAGAGGAGAGGTTTTTTCTCCCTTAAACAAAGGGAACAGTGGGACAGATGAGGTAGTTTGCAGCAAACAAGCTCCATGTGAAGGGTGGGACTGGGAGAGGAGGCAAGGAGACCTTGATGGCTGGTGGGGGCATCCAGCTCTGTGCTTGGCAGTGGAAGACACCAGCTCTGGCTACTGAAAGTAGCTGAGGGAACTCAGAAGGGAATGATGTCTGGTGCAGAGCTCTGAGAGCAGGGGAGCTGCTGAGCTGCCTGGGGTGAACCAGTCTGGCAGCTAAACCCAAGTAAGCTGGGCACTCTGAAGGCTCTGGTAGTTTTAAAAGTTCCTCTTGTTTCCCCAAAATGCACTTTTGTAGGGAATTCAAGAGGAGAAGAACCCACAGGGTATGTGCTTCTCTCTCTGCTTCCCTCTGGCCTCTGTTGATAGGACACTGCTGACCCACCTTGATGGCAGCAGTCCTGGCTTCTTGCTGCAAAAAGAGTGTGCCCCAGGATAAATGCTCATGAAATTGTGCAGGAAAGTGCTTTAAGAACCAAGTGCAAGGTGTTCACATCAACACAAAACATAGGAACTGCCAGAACTCTGCCAATCCAAGGTCTGTCCAGGTTGCTTCAGGGGAAGATACAAGGGCTCCAGAGTGAGGCAGTCATGGGGTGGTTGTTTCCCCCCTCCTACCACACAAACACCTTTTGCTGGTGTAGGTTTTCCCCTCTTCTTATATTACTGAAAGGAGATTTTTATAGTCACATTTCGTTTAATGGTGACAGCAATAGTCTGGGGGTGGAGAATTGGGGGGGGTGTTCTTCCTGCAGACTTGGCCAAGTCTCGTGGCCTCCCTGGGCAGCTCCTGCTCACCCTTTGCTGAAGGTGCTTCTCTGACTTCCCCGTGGGTGTGAGCATTGCCAGAGCTGACTCATGGCCCTCTCTGGAAAACACAAGTGTGTTTTTGAAGAGGTCTCTAGAGCCTTTTGTGAGAGTGGGTGATCAGGGGAAGCGTCTCTGTAGAAATCTTGGAGGGCTTTCTGCAGCTATCACAGGGAAGAACTGGAGTTGGACAAAAAGCTGCCTTTTTCTTTTGGGAATTGGAAACAAAACCCACACAACTGCCCATGGTTTACCTTTCTCTTTAGAAGAAGGCTGATGAAAGCTGAACTGGAGATTTTCTGACCTGATGTTGTTCTCTCCTTTGTGCTGGTGCTTGTTCCGAGCTGGCACCCTGCAGGGACCACCCCGTGGGGCAGGAGGGGAGGCTGCAGACCCCATCACATCCCCCACGTTTCCTGGTGGCTCTAACCCCATGGTGAGGTGAGCTGAGCACCTGGAGCAGCTCTGCTGGGCTCCCTGCCCCAAGTGTCTCTGCTGAGGCCTCAGATAACCTCCTCCAAGTCTTTCCACGGGTGGCTTTATCTATTATTGAGTGGGGAGAGCAGCCTGCTGAGAACAGCTGCCCATGAAATATTTAAGTATTAAAATCTAGCTAAGAGCATCAGTCAGGCTCAGTCGTGCATCCTTGGAGGCAGAATTAAGTGGAGCACGCATCCTTGGAGGAGTGGTGCTGGCTAGGCTGGCTGTAGCTTTCCTCTAATCCTGAATCATTTAAAAATGTTCCCTCTCTGAGCTTTTTGGAGGAGGAGGAGGAATCCCAACTCTTCAAGCCTGTTTTCCCTGGGTTGGCTTGTTCCCAAGCTTGCTGTGGCTGAGGCAGGAATAACCTGATGGTTCCTCTGCAGGGAGGCCAGCCTGGCAAAGGGTGCTGAGCACCCCAGCCCTGCAGCTGCAGGTCAGTTTGTGGGGGCTGGTGGGGAAACGTGGGGGTGAGATGGATTAACAGGAGGGTCTCTGCACTGCCAGGTGCCTCCTCTGCCCCAGAGCAGTCAAAGCAGCCCCAGAGGCTCCAGCCACCTTACTGGGTGAGAAAGGAGCTGCAAGAGTCAGAGAAATCTGTTCTGCTTCTCCAGAGCCTGGGCTGAAATGCAAAGCTCTTGGGGTGGATGTTTTTTGGTCTCTAACTCAGTTTTGCTGCCTGTGGTTATATTTAATTTTACCTGCTTGCCTCTTCATCTTGGCAGCTCCTTGGGGGTGCTCTGGTGGAAGCACTGGGTAGAAATAGATTCCCCATTTCAGAGAAAACATCCCAGCTCTAAAGGGGAATAATTCAGTTGGAAGGATACTGATAAATCCAGCACAGCTGTTGGTGGCACCCCACAGCCTCACCATTTCCACATATCCTTGGCCAGGCTGGATGGCAGAGGAGTGTTGGGGGGTGGCCAGGAGTCAGGGCAGAGCTGGGCAAGCTGATGCCAGGGGTGGCCATGGTGAACCAGCTCTGGTTTCTGTTGGTTGGAGCTGTCTGACAGCTGATGGGAGGCACCTTTCTGTGGGTCTGCCTCTGAGAGGTCCTCTTCAGCCACCAAACACCATTCCTGCAGGCTCCTGCTGCAGTCTCAAGTCTTCTCCTCCATCCTCCTTGGGTTGCAGAGTGTTGCAATCCCTCTGCTAGTGCCAGGCCTCGCCCAGTAAATAGCCAAATAAATGTTCCCTTGGTTGGGGTGGAAACTTCCTGTGGCCACTTAGTAAAGAGTGAACTTTATTCCTTGTCAACATTTCTAATGGCACAACCCACCCCTGCCACAGTAGGTAAATAGAACATACCTGGACCTTGTATTTATTCCAGTCAGTGAGAAAAGACATCTTTCTGTGGCAGGAGGGGTGAAGGATGTTGGATTGTTTTTTCCAGCCTGGGGAAAAAAAGATAAATTAAGTATCTTGATGCTTCTGGACCCTGCCAAGCAGCCCTGTGTCCTGGACACCAGAACATTTTCAGCCATAGGATGAGTGTGAGGCTCCCCAGGGTTGTAAAAGACCCACCTAGTCTTACTGAAGACACCTCTCCTGGTTGGAAGTTGCCAGAATTTCCACCCTTCAAAACTTTGCAACATTTCTTCTTGTTGGGGGTTTGTTTTGGGTGTTCTTGAACTCAGTTGGTAGCAGATTTGAGAATTTGAAGGTGTGTTAAGTTAGGACAGGGAGCTGGAAGGTGAGGAGGGGAGGTCACATCTCTCTCCCCTTCCCCTTTGTAATGAGCCCAGACTCTTCCCAAGGTGTCTGGGCTCAGAGGATCTATTTTCCTACCTCCTCAAGTAGCCTCTCCAGTAACTAAGAAGACAAAAGGTGATTTCCAAGCAGCTATGGAAAGCTGTTAGTGGTGGAGGTGGGACACCCCTGCACAGCAGCAGGTGAGAGGACAGACACACCCCTCCCAGTGTGGCAGAAGGGACAAACCTACCAGCAAGAGTTTTCACAAATAATGAAGGAATTTTTGTGCCCATTATGGCCTGAAAATGAGCCCAGTTAGCTGATATAAAGTGTTAATAAGTTTTTAGCTGCTGGAGGGTGAGGTCAGAGGGGAACACAGGGCTCCACACCCACGGGGGGAGGCTCCTGCTGTGAGGAGCAGGGCTCTGGCACCTGCAAGCTTACAGAGGAAGCTGCTTCCCTTATGAGCCTTCTATTTTTAGTGCATTTGTTCCTAAACTGTTTTTTCCTTCCCTGACATCCCAGAAAGGGTCAGCTGCCCCCTCCCATCCCAGCCCCAGCCTCGCTGCTCTAGCCGAAGTTCTCCAGCAGCTCCCTCCTCTCTTTTCAGCACCGGGGAGGTGAGGTGGCTGCTGCCCAGACCCTCAGAGGACCTCAGGGCTCTAACCCTGGCTGTTTTCTCCTCCCCAGGGTGGAATGAGCTCCTCATTGCCTCCTTCTCCCACCGCTCCATAGCTGTGAAGGACGGGATCCTGCTGGCCACGGGGCTGCACGTGCACCGCAACAGCGCGCACAGCGCCGGCGTCGGGGCCATCTTCGACAGGTGGGCAGGGAGGGGTGGCTTTGGGGGGACCCCCTGGCCTGGGCATCCCCCTCTGTCTGTCTCCTATCCTCACGTTGCAACCTGCTTCAGGGGTGGGATGGAGGTGTTGGCCCCCGGGCTCGTGGGCTGAGGTGTGTCCGTCATCCCGTGGAGGTGTCGCGGTTCTTCCTCATAGGATGTCTGGGCTGGAAGGGGCCTCCAGAGGTCATCTAGTCATAGAATAGATCAGAGGATTGTCAGGGTTGGAAGGGAGACCTGAAAGATCGTCTAGTTCCAACCCCCCTGCCAGAGGCAGGGACATCTGCTAGATCAGGTTGCTCAGAGCTTCATCCAGCCAGACCCTAAAAAATTCCAAGGATGGGGCATCCACCACCTCCCTGGGCAACCTGTTCCAGCCTCTCACCACCCTCATGGTGAAGAACTTCTTCCTAATGTCTAATCTGTATCTACCTACTTCTAGTTTTGCTCCATTCCCCCTAGTCCTATCACTGCCCAACATCCTAAAAAATCCAAGAAGATGTTCAACCCCTCCTCTTAAACCTTCACAAACCAACAGCCCCACAGAGCCAGGGAGAGGGCTGCCCAGTGCAAATCAAAGCCTCTTTCATGGGGTCCAGATGCCTTCTAACATTACGAGGAGGCCACCTCTCTATTTCTTTTCATCTCTAATTGGACCAAGACGTGATTTTTATTTTCACAATGAAAAAAAAAAACCCCAAAAATACCCAGCAGGTTCCACATGCGTGTCCTGAGGGCTCTTTAATCTCGTGCTTTGGGAAAGTGTTTTGAAGCCAGACATCCAGGGTGTCTGACCCACAGTGTGGCTCCAGACACTGCTCAAATGATGGTTGATGTCTCTGCCCGAGACTCGTCCTTTGGAACCAAATCCCCTTTGCTGCTTTGCTCTGCAAGGAAACTGTTCTTTGGAGCTGGGTGACATCATTTGTTTCCTCTGAAGTCATAAGTGCAAGCTCATGACTTCACGGCAGGCTCTAGCAGGAAAAACTGGGCAATCAGTGGAAAAAATTTCGAGACAGGCACCTGCAGAAAGAGCAAAGGGAGTAATAAAAATTACCGGCGGAGGAAATTGCTTTTAGGTACCTGTTGGGGCTTTTCTATTTTTTTATAGTAGTATTTTTATTTTTAGGCAGCTTTCTCAGGTGCCAAAGCTCGTCAGTGAATGTACAAAGCCAGATTTTTGGTCCCTGTTGTGCCTCACAGGAACTATTGATGTTCCTGAGGAGCTATTTTGGATGCGGGAGGAAAATGAGGACATCTCCTCCCTGGGTAGGAGCGAGCCCTGTCCTGTGGCTGCACCAACCCTGCAGAGGGGGAGCTCCTGCTGGCTCTGACACCCAGCTGCTTTTCCATGCCTTTGGAATGCTGATGCCTGTGATTTGTGTGTGTTTTGCAGAGTACTGACAGAACTTGTGTCCAAAATGAGAGACATGCAGATGGACAAGACAGAGCTCGGCTGCCTCCGGGCCATTGTCCTCTTCAACCCTGGTACGTGTCCTTGCCTCCTCTCCAGTCCTCTTTTGGCTGGTGCTTTGGAGTTTGGACTCCTTTTCATACCTATAAAGCTCCATTGCAAATAACCAAGGACACCCAGCTCCTGAGTTGGGTCCTTGGCTGGTTCTTGGCTGCCATCATCTCAGGAGACAGCAGATGCTGCTTTTGGAGCTGACTCCTCCCCATGGGCTGAGCTCTCTGCTGAGCTCAAGGGGCTTTGGTTTGATCAATGTACTTACTCTTCCTATTTTCAGTGTTTCAGCCAACTCTAAAAAAGAAGGTTCTGGTGCTTGAGGCAGTTGTCCCTGAATAGGAGCAAAAATGAGTCTAGATATCCTTTAAGAGGAAAGCATGGGTTAGAGCAAAGTTAGAGCATGGACCTTGTTGTCCTCTTTTTCCCAGTTTCAGCATCCAAAGGCTTCTGCTAACTGCCTTTCTGGGAGAGCCCTCTGCAGAGGGGGGAAAGGCATGAAATATGCTCATAAAATACACAAAAACTTGAATTCTGTCTGCAGCTTGCTTAGTTTGACAGACTCCAGGAGACTTTGTGCCACTCGCTTTTCCCCCTTGGCCCCAGCTGCCCAAGGGGAGAAGAAGGTTCAGTGCTGGGGGTTGTCTCTGGTGTTTCAGAGAGCAGGAGATGGACCACCAGCCTGTGGAAACCTGTACAGCTCTGGTGGGGGGTTCCTTAGATTTTAGGGGGTCAGCTGAGGACAGACTCCACATCTGTGGCCACCCCTGCCCTGCCCTGCCCTTGCAGGAGGATGTTCTGTGCCCAAGCATGGCTCTTTCCCAGGCCAGGGCATTTCAGCAGGGTTTAATGCTGTTTCTTGGATTTGTTCTTCAGTTTGACATTATTTTTTTATTCCCCCTAAGGCTTGTAATGAGCAGTAATTTATTGTCTGTAATTTGGGATTAGCTGTATATGGTAAACGAAGGGGAATTTGGAGAGGTTCCCGTGGTGCATGTGCTTGGGGATATCGATTGCTTGACTGTCCCTTTCACCCTGCTAAAAACAGATCCTTGCTGCATCAGGGAGGGCTTGCCAGAGTGGGAGCTTTTTGGTCAGCCCTGTCTCTCCCTGCTTCATGCTGCAGGGAGGAACCTCACAAGCCCAGGGCTTGAAGAGGGGGCACTTAAACCCTTGAAATGAGGGTCTGTGACCACAGGAATGAGCCAAAATGGTCGGGGGTGGGGTATGAGGTGGGATAAACTAGCTCTGTAGTCACAGGGGAAACCCTTCAGGGCTTGAGTGCTCCCTGGGAGGTGTTAAGAACTGCTCCAGATTCCTGGAGCCAAGACCTCACATCCACACCATGCCCCGGTCTGG